GCCGAGACGAGGCCCCCGATTCGGGTCACCGTCAAGACCCCCAAGGACAAGGAGGAAATTGTGATCTGCGACCGAGCCTCGGTCAAGGAGGTAGTGCGGCCGAGTGGGGTGGGCGCCCGGAGGAGGGGTCCACAGGGGTGGGGGGCCCGAGTGACGGCCTGGCGTCCGGGACTGCCCCCGACAGCAGGGCCGGGGCCAGCGGGGACTCGGGCGGCGGGACCGAGGGGCGGGTAGGGGGCGCCCTCCGAGGGCAGGTCGCGGGAGCGTGGCGCGTGTTGGGGGACGGGTTTGGCTTGTGGTGGCCAGGGCTGGGGGCGTGGTGGAGAGCGGGGAGGGGACACCGTCACCCGCACCGGGCCGGAGAGCCTGGGCTCTGGCGGGGTGCACGCCCGCGTTTCTGGTCGGGGTTCGAGTCGCCGAGGCAGAGTGGGGCCCCGGCCGGGGGCTGAGCCAAAGGAAACCCGCGGGAGGCCGGCGGAGCGCCGGGCGCCTGCCGTGCGCCTCGGGGAGCGCCCAGTGTCCACTGAGCGCCAGGGCAGGGGGTCTTTCCCGCGGCCCCAAGCCTTCGCACTCTCTCGAGTCGAGGCAGTTACTGGTTCTTGGCCCTTCTGGGATGCTCGGAGTGCAGTAGGTGCTCAATAAAATCTTGTTGAATGAGTGAGGAGGGACTGTTACCGTATTCTCCCCGGCTTGTGGCAGCCCCAGAATTTCACCTAGGCGGGGCTTAAGATAGGCCATCTGGTTGGAAGAGAGGGATCTGGAAGCTGCTTTTGCTCAGCAAGTGCACTGTTTTTACTTAGAATGTGTGTTTTGTTTTGTTTTGGAGGAGCTGATAGAATTTGGAGAGTCAACTCATACTGCTACCCCCTATATAAAATTGCTAAATACTAAAATTTAAATAGTATTCTCTGTAAGACTGAATTTGAAAACAGCCCTGAGAGGGGAGTGTTTCTGGTCAAAAGCCGGGACTTTGATGTCCAGATCTGAGTTCCCATCTCCCCATGACAAGTTGACCTAACCTCTCAGATCCTCAGTTTTTTCTATTTTAAAAAAGGAGATAATAACTAATACATTAGACGGCTAACCAGTGAAGGGTTAGTGCCCAATAACTGGGATCCCTTGGTTGTAGTTGTTATGAGAAAGCTGGGAATTAGGAGAGAAGGATGAAGCAAGACAGATCCAAGGTTGGGGAAGGAGTTGGCATGGGGAGAGTGCCCATGCAGCACCCTCACTGAGAACCGGATGGAGGGGCTGAAGCTCCGTTCTTAGATATCAGCAAGGGCTTTCTAGGGTAGGAGACTCTGGCATGGAGTTGAGAAAAGTGCCTCTTGCTTATCCGTCTCCTTGATTTAAGGAGCTGCAGCTGGAGGGATGGAGTTGAGACTGTAGAAAGAACTTCCCTTGAGTAGCAGTCCGAGTAGAAGCAGAGTCTCTGGTGGGCGAAGCCCATGCAGCCTCCATAATGATATTTGCCTCTTGATAACAGTTCAAAGAGGAAATCTCCCGGAGGTTTAAGGCTCAGCAGGATCAGCTGGTCCTGATCTTCGCAGGCAAGATCCTCAAGGATGGGGACACCCTGAACCAGCATGGGATCAAGGATGGGCTCACTGTCCATTTGGTGATCAAGACCCCTCAGAAGTAAGTTGAGGAGAAGAGCAGACCTCGCTGTGGACTGGGACTCCCATCCCTATTTCCCTATCGTTTCCTCCACTGTACCTGGAGGACCCAGGCCAGGCAGGGGTCTGGGCACCTAGAACGCCCTGAAATCATGATGCTAGTGACCTCCTCCCTCTCCCTGGCTTACTGACGCCCAGCGCCCCTCCCAGTCTGAGGTGGGGGTGATGGTGTTTAGAGGCGGCCTCGGCTTGCAGTGGCTGTGCGGCACACGGAAATCCCGACGTCACTGTGCTGCCTTCCCTCTTCTGTGCCCACTCCAACGGGGAGTCTCCTTTCTCTGTCCTCAGGGCCCAAGATCCAGCTGCTGTCACTGCTTCGTCCCCCTCCACTCCAGACCCTGCCTCAGCGCCCTCCACCACGCCCGCTTCACCTGCCACCCCTGCCCATCCCTCTACCTCTGGCAGTGCCACTTCGGATGCTGGCAGTGGAAGCCGGAGGAGCAGTGGTGGGGGCCCCTCACCAGGGGCAGGGGAGGGACCCCCCAGTGCTACTGCATCTATTCTCTGTAAGCCCTCGGGAGGAGAACAGGGTCCTGGGTTGTGCTGGAGTGTGGGGAGCCAAGGAGGGCGAGACAGCCTTGCTCTTAGTGGGATGGGGAGGCTGCCCTGGACACAGCGTTCCAGACCCTGGTGCTTGAGCCAAGCTGAGGAGGAAGCCAGTCTGAGGGCTTCCTGGAGGAGGGGAACACAGCTCAAGTGCTAGGAGGGAAGGAGAGATGGAGATGGGGCCGTGGGGGCCCTGAGTGAGGAGATTGGAAAAGATGGCTCCAACAGTAGGCTAATGGGAGGACTCGATTTACTCATTGAGCCGTGCCCTGCTGGTGGACCGAAGTGCTCTCAGCCCTCCCTCGGGGCTGACATCTCTCCGCCCAAAGCAGACCAGGGCGGGGACTGTGGAAGTCACTGGAAGAGGGAGATGTGAGCAGCCCCCGGGCCCACCCATCCCGGAGACCCAATTCCGTGGCTGTGCTAGGAGGGGGAAGGGCTCCTGGGGTAAACTGTGACCCTACCCCCTCCTCACAGCTGGCTTTGGGGGCATCCTGGGCCTGGGCAGCCTGGGCCTGGGCTCTGCCAACTTCATGGAGCTGCAGCAGCAGATGCAGAGGCAGCTGATGTCCAACCCTGAGATGCTGTCGCAGATCATGGAGAACCCCCTGGTCCAGGACATGATGTCTAACCCTGACCTGATGCGCCACATGATCATGGCCAACCCCCAGATGCAGCAGTTGATGGAGCGGAACCCCGAGATCAGCCACATGCTCAACAACCCCGAGCTCATGCGGCAGGTGGGTAGGGCAGAAGGCTGGAGGGTGGAGAGGCACCTGGTGCCAGCCTCTCCGACATCCATTTGTTCATTCACTCACCTAGCAGCCACGTTTTGGACGTTTGAGGTACAGGGATAAAAAGATTCATGCCTAGCTTTCTAGGAACTCCTGGTGTCCAAGGGAAGGGGACAAGTGAATGGGCAATTATAGAACAGTGTGGTCGTTGCTGTCCTAAGCACAGTCACCAGTGTCCTAAGGATAATCACAGCATAAGAAAGGGCTTCTAACCCTATCCTGGGGCTTGGAGAAGGCCTGGTGGAGGAGGTGTCACCTAGCTGAGACTCAAAGGAAGAAGGTGGGTAAACCAGGGGAAGAAAGAAAAAAAAACTCAAGGTCAAGGGACAGTAAAGCAAAGCCCTGGAAATAAGAGACAGTAGGAAGTTGGAGAGCATTATTATGGCTGAGTAGGCCTGGGGAAGAGGCCCAGCAGAGACTGTTTGAGTGTTGGTGTTTGGGGACTTCATCTCATGGTCCAGTCCACCAGGGGACGAGAGCAGATGATCCTCCCAACGGAGTTGTGGACACCAGTGCAGGACTCACCAAAAGACAGCTTCTGCTAGGAGAGTTGTTCCTTGTCTAAAACTGTGCCTCTATGTAGTGGTCACTCAGTAAGTACTGATTGGGTGTCTGGACTATGGGACAAGTGGGAGTTCTGTGAAGGCAGGTGTAGTCTGGAAAGCAGACTTAGAAGAGGCAGGTGTGGAACAGATGTTGGAACAACGAGAGGGAAGGTGTTCCAAGTTGCATGGGAATAAGAAGTAGCTTGCTCTTGTCATAAATCCCCTGGTGTGGATTCAGGCCATGGGCACCAGAACAGAAAGCCCCCATCTTCAGTGTGGCTTAAGGCTCAGTCAGGCCGAAGACTCAGGTGGTGGTCAGGGGGTGTGTGGAACACTGTCCCAGCGGAGTCCTTCCCTGTCCAACTTGTAGTTGTTTACTAGGAACCACAGTGTGATCCTGACCAGATTTACACCAACCTGGCCCCAGCTGTCTCCCCCGG